TCTCTCTAATATGCTGTTTAACAAATCTATCTATTCGTATAACTTTCCGTCTACTATTCGTAAGTTCAGTTGTAAAACCACACCAATTGTTAAGTAAAAAAAATCGAAACAATTTTTTTCTGGAAATATTCACAGACATTGAAAGGCAAACATTTCCAGACAAATGTGGATTCTCAAATTTCGGCCATGTCCTACTTGGATTTAATATTGCGCTCAGTGACCGAACCAGAACTAATGAAATTATTTGTGAAATTTCTCTTGGATGTGGAAAAGTTTGATGGTGAACGTATATTGGACACATTGGTGGAACGTTTAAGTTCACAAGATCCCAATTTATGTATGGTTACAATGGCGTTATTCGATACCCTATTGGGTTTACATTGTGAAGATTTAATGTTGGAACTATTATTGAAATATCTACTGCCGGGTAAACATGTACCCATATCTTATCGTCACAAAATCAACAAAATTGATCCTTATACAAACGCCGCCGAATTCTTTTTGGATCTAACGCCCGAAGTAATGAAAAGAGCTAGAGAGTTGACAAAACATAAACATGTAGGCGATACAGCACATCACACACACCCTACCATGCCGTCGCCCACATCAACATTGAGTAAAACTATTGGAGCCAATTGGAATTACTATGGTTTGCATACCGGTGATAGTTTATATGCCAATTATCATGCATATCTATTCGAAGCTCATTTTCGTATAGTGCAATGTTTGACGGCTTGTTCAACTTGGTCCCACGATTATAAATATCAAAAATGGCCTCGTAAATCGGGCAAAGGAAATAATCAAACTTTGGAAATGGTTAAACAGTTTTTCAATGAATTCAATAGCAGTCCTTTGTTGGAGCAATCAAATCTAATTTCCTCAAGCACAACATTCTATGATGATAAAAAACAATTCGATAGTTTGCAATCTATAGGGGAATCCAGTGGCTATGAGTCATTTAAATGGAGACCGGCAGATGAGGAAACAGCTGCAGATGAGCTACCACACTCGACCAATGTATCCGTCAGTATGGGTGATATTGATTTAGATTCCAGCAGTAGCAGCCACAAACAAAACACCATGTTATCGAAGAAAGAGTCCTGGAGAATGTCAAAGAATCGCCATGAATTACATTTAACAGATTTGGACTTTTCTGAAGATCTATTTGCCCAGGGGACCGTATCATTGGGTAAGTGTAATAAAATTAAAAAGTGATAATAAAATAATTTGTATTAATTTTTTCTGTTTAAGGTCCCTTTTTAAATGCGGTTTGTAGCAAATTACAAACATTTACCAGTAATACTCTTTATGTGAATCTACATCTTACGGGGCTTATAACACGTTTGGCCTGGTACCCCTTACCTTTGATACACTCTATACTCTTGCGTCCCGATATTGTTGTCACCTCAGACACTCCCTCATTTCATCAGGTATTACGTATTCTCAAACAACAGATTGATGCTGAACTACCAGTGGTTGAAGATTCTCTAGAAATAATCGATGTGGCCCGTTCATATCTTATAGATCGTGAATTTCGTTTGATTAATGCCCGCAAAGCATCGGAAAATTCTCCCTTACATGTAGCCAAAGTTATGACAACGCAACATTCTACATATGCCGCCATATCGGCCTCATCGCCGGTACAGGTGACACCTTCGTCGTCGTATGATCCCTTCAAACGTAACGACACGAAAAGAATGAGTATTAGCAAATCCATAACTAGTATGTTTAGCCGCAAGTCAAATGGTAAGTTAAATATTTTCTTTTTTATTGTTTTTATTATGTTTTTAATTTTTATGATTACATTTAATACATTAACTTGATTTTAAACCACTATTCATTTTGTTTAATATTGTTTGGGAATTACTTAAGGTGATATTATTTTAAATTATTAAATTTGGGTTTAAATGGGGGCTTTATTTATGTATGTTTTTCTATATTTCCATTACAACATTAAATCACACATACACATTCAAACAATTTATTAGCCATTACAGAAAACCTAATAAAAAACAAAATTTCTTGAACAGAAAAATTACCATATTTATCATGTTTTAATATATTTTGATTTTTGTTTTTATTTTTTATTTTTTTCTTACGATATTTCCTTAGCTACATCTGGCTTATCACAAATTTATGCATTCTTCACCGGTAAATATTTCACTTTACTTGGTATCATTTGTTTTGTTAGTTTGTTTTGATCAAAATTCGTAGTTATTAGTAGAATAAATTTATATACATATTTCATAATTATTATCTATAGTTAATTGTAGTTGTAGTTTATTATTACAATTTGGAAATTTATTCATTTGATTTTGCTGCTTACTTTTATTTGTATATGTATATATTTATGTAATTTTGAGTAGATTAGAGATAATTGCTTTAAGATATTAGTTTGCTTTTTTGTGTAAATATGTAGTTATCTCAGTCTTATTTGAAAATAGATTTGACAAAAGATCTATTTGCAAATAATTTATTCATTCTGTCTTCAAATTTTTATACCCTATACGACTATAGTGGGGAGGGTATTATTCGTTTCTACCTGATGTTTGTAACACATAAAAATATTTGTCCTGCAACGACCTTAAAGTATACCAATCGGCTCAGAATCACTTTCTGAGTCGATTTAGTCCGTCTGTGTAAACCATGTGCGTACGCTACAGATCGCAATTTTCAAGATAATTTGAAGAAATTTGGCACATTGCTCTTCTTTTGACCCAAGGACGAACTCTTTTGTAAAAATTACACAGCCCAACTAAATTTGTAAAAAAGTCGAAACGCAGAGAGTTAACGGATTTAGCAGCGTTAAATCCGAACCTGATTTCCTCCATCACATCAGGTTTTTTAAATATAGTGTTCTGAAATCTTAAAAAAAACATTTTTTAACATATTTGACTACTTATCCGTATTAATATTATGTGAAGATTCAGTCAAAAATCAATTACTGGACCCATTGTGTATATTATTATTACTAGATTGTCTTAAATAAACCATCACCATTCAAAGCTGTTTAATCAATTAATCAAGACAGGACGACAAAAATTGAAAAAAAAGTCAAAACCCTGAGATCAAGGATTAAGCTGCGCTGAATACGAATCTAATCTTAGAATTTCTCGACCACAGCTGGAATTCGAGATATGTATCGTGTCCTGAAGTTTGAAAAAAGCAACTTTTGGCCCTTTTTGAGACTTAAATTAATAAAATGTTGTATGCCACCTGAAAATTCAAACAGCTGACATATCTTCTTTTATCTTCAAGATTTCATCACCTAAAGCTTAAAAACTCATGGTTATCGTTATATTCATGGTATTTATACCATACACTACAACGTTTTTAAAACTTCAGGTCACTGTAATTCCAGATCTGATGAAGAAATTCTTTCCTTTAGATTAATATTATTTGGTCTCTGGGTTAAAAAATTGTCGGCCTGTGTTAGTTAACTATTTCTGTAAAACTTTTGTCGTAAAAAATACTAAAATACTGTAGTCTTACAAACATACCTACTTTTATTATTAATAACTTTTAATATAATTAAACATATTTTTAGAAAATAATAGCATGTCAAGATTAATTAATTAATTAATTTAATTGTTTAACAGCTTCCTTTATTTATCTTAAAATGTTTTACTGTCTATAAGAAACATGTGAAAAATTCTTTTGAAATCAAATAATATTAAATTATGCTATTCCATATTATAGGAGGGTCGTCTACATCACCATTTGCGGTTGGATCAAATGCTGCGGCTGGCACTTCTTCAACATCTTCTTCTTTAAATAATCAAAATCAAGCATCGAATTCAGTAAATAGTTCTATTACAAGAGAGACTAGTTTAACCAATCTACCGCCTTCAGGAGCAAAATCCTCGGCATCAACTTCCTCCTCTATAACGGCGGCAACAAATGAACGCACAAACGAACGTAGTGGCAGTGTTAGCAGTAACACTACCGTGCAATCGAACAATTCATCAACGGCAACAGCTACAACATCGTATCACAATTTTCCACAACATAGCAGCATAAACTCCTCTCTAAGTGATAGGGCCAGTTCAACATCGACTTTAACCGCCTCATCTACCCTGGGAAATGCATATTTGGTGGGTAGTGGTAATGGCTCCGAACCGGCTTCCCTAGATTCGATATCATCAACAATGGGAGCAATTACCAGTGGTGGCACCGAACGCACCAGAGATTTAGCCTTATGTGCTGTCTTATTAGATGAATGGTTAAAGGAGTTAGCCGCTATAGCTCAAGAGCAAAGTGTTGTTATGCTTGATAAGGATTACTGACATTGTTGTCATGGTTTGGTTGTGGATCAATTCAACAACTACTCTATGCCAATTAATTGTACATGTTTTTGATATCGTTTTAAGAGAAAAGTTTAAATATTCATATTTAGCTTTTTAAAGATATAACAATTATTCAGTAAGTTTTGTTTATCAATTTGTATATTTGTTTTCGATTCTTTTGGAAAACGTAATTGTATTAATAAATAAATCTATAAAAGAGCAATATATTTATTTACATATTTACATATGTATTATTGGCAAATATTGTTAACTTTTTACATATTTTTTACATGATTTGCTATCTTGATTTCAAATTGTACACAAGAGTAATTTAGAAAGTTATGTGTGTATAACTTTTAAACAATTATGTACAACAATTTTGTAGGCTTTATTAAGCGGATTTTTTTTTGTGAAATATTTTATACAACAAAAACTTGTTTGCATGATTTCCAATTAAAATTAAGAAAACATCATGTTATTCCAAACAAAAAGAAAAAGAGTTTTATTTATTAAATTGATTGAGATAATGGCAAAACACCAACAATTTTCCCTTTTTCGATTCCTAATGAAAAGCTATTAAAATGCACTGTAACAATATAACTTTTGAATCCAAATTCAGTCTTTCTCTTGAATGACTTTTGCAAAAGTAGAAAAACTGATGAAAAATCTAAAATTGAAAAATTACCCAAAGAATTTTAATAAAAAATACAATAATTTTATGTAATTATTCCTCTTATTTCCAAAAGTTCATAAATATTTTTAATATTAAATCATGTTACTTTTATGATGACACTTCTCTATTGAGGACCTTAAATGCTTTTAAAGAATTTTAATGAATAGTGTTTATTTATTATTTAATTCATCATTTCTAGGCCGCTTTGGTATGGCACCAGTGGAGGGACTTGGAACTTCAGAGACATTTTGATTATGCGTATGTTTGTGTTGTCTGAAAAGAAAAACAAAGTTATTTCATTCAAAATAAACCATAAGATAACTCATCTAAAACTTTACCTAAGTTTGCTAGCTGCATAAAAAGCTCCTTCTGCCGGTGTTAATTTATTAAGAAATTCTGAATTTATAAATTTATCTGTCTTATCGTTTTCATCTTCCAGCGAAAAATGTACTAAAGCATTTGGTACAAAATCCAATTCTAACAGGGTTTTATCCAAATCTAATTTAGTTTTAGGTGGTATGGTAACTGCATAATAATATAAGTTAAATTCTTGCCAAAAAAACGTTAAATTTTTAAATAAACCTACACAAATAAAACGGTTTTTCCGCATTCTCTAAATAAGTTCTAGTGAATTCTTTAACATCTGAGATTTTATCGATTGGTTTGAACATCCCTTGTAAAACATGGCGATCAGGAAATTGTATTCTTATAACACAATTTTTATATTGAGCAATTTTTCTAAGCATGGTATTATTATCGTCCAATTCACGGAGTTTTTCGGTAAGCAATGGTGCATCTTCATTGCCGGCGGCTATTTTTTTAAGATCACGCAAAACCAATTTCAAGTCATTGACCGTTAAATCATAAAATGAGTCGGGTAAATCTTCTATTTGATTTTGTGCCGAGTCTAGGGAATAAATTAAGGCATTGCGTTCTCCCAGCTGTACGAAATAGAGTAAAATATTATTTCAAATTTAAATATTTGAGTTATAATTTATATACTATATGATATTCGGGTTCAATTTCTGGTTCTAAATTTTCATTTTCATCCACCTCCATTTTCATTTCAGATGTACGCATCGAACGTCCTGGTGCTGAGCCCCAGTCATATTTAGGTTTTTCTGGTTCTAAATTTTCTACTTTTATATCAGTATTACTGCCGGCTGCTTCTTTGTTTTCAGTCTTCGGTTCACTTGTTTCGTTTGCTGAAGCCTTTTTAAGGGATTGTACCAAGTCTTTGGTTATGGCAAAACCACTACCACCTGGCACTATACTCTTTGAAGTTTTGGGTTTGTCATCATCAGTGTTAGAAGTTGTTGCCACAACTTTAGGTGCAGGAGGTTTATAAACCATGGCTTGTCTAAATTTAAGGAAAACAAGAAAGCGTATAATGGCCTAAGTTTAAAAGTTATTGACAAATGTTTAACAAACGTTTTTAATTCTTCCGGCTGTTTGTCCAGCAAACGCAGTAAGGCTCTTCCCTCCATTATACCCAACGATTTCAGCGATGTTTTGGCTAATAGTTCTTCTCCCAATATCTCCTGACGCATATAAAGCACTACTGGACTAGCGAACTTGTGCAATTCAACTTCTCCTATCACTTCTTTCAGAACGTGCCACAAATTATCATCGGGCAAAAATTGTGCCTGTTTACGTGATCCATCTTCAGTTTGCACACATATATCCACTGCCATAGCCACTCGTTTTTTATCTGTTTGGTACATTTCTAATAGGCAATTGTTGGGCAAACCACTAAAGCGAAACATTTGCGATAGGGACACCTCCTTATTGTGATGCTTCAAACAGTATTCATCGCTGGAAAAACCATGTTTTTTGCAAGCTTCCTCCAATATTTGCAATATTGTAGTGTTCGGAGTAACTTTAACATTTTGTCTTCTGCCGTTGGGTGTTAGAACGGTAACTTTAGATTCCATTATTGTAATAATTCCGTTTTCACTTTTTTAATGAATCAAATTGCATCCAAGTGAAGTGTTGAAATGAAAAAAAAACAAATGTCATGGCAGAGTCGTAAAAGAGCACATTCTTTCTTCAATTATAAATTTGTTGTCGGCAGGCAAATTTTTTTCAAAGAGAAGCCAATAATACAAAAAATATATTTTCAAACAAGGTATATTAATTATATATAATTAATATATCTTGTTTCCAAACACATTAATATTTTTTTGTTTACGAGATTTGGTGCAACGTCTTGTTATGGTTGTTGTTTTTTACTTATTATTTTTTGCCGAAGTAATACCTTTCTACTGCTGTTTTATATCAACCATGTATTTTAAAACGTCAGATATGTTTACATGGAATTGTTTGTAAACAAAACCAGCTGGAATCTAAATTGCGAATTATGAGTTTTTGCAAAAAATATTTATTTACCAATAAACTAGCGCCTCGTAATCTCAAATTTTTTCAAAGATTTCGCAAAATGACTTGGAGGTCAGTAGGTGTGGATAATGCTGATCTTATAGAGAAATTAAAAGGTAAATATCTATAACGTCATGGTTATATAAAGATGAACAACATATGAAATTGTTTAACAGAATGTGGAATTGTGGCGACTGAAAGTGTAGCTGCCGCCATGACCGATACGGATCGTAAATATTATGCACCTAGTAATCCGTATATGGATGCACCGCAAGGTATAGGCTATGGTGTTACTATTAGTGCACCACATATGGTAAATATTAATATACATATGTACAAATATTTAAAAATTATAAAAAATAACGTTTTTTTTAATGATAATGGCAGCACGCTTTCGCTTTGGAATATTTAAGGGATCATTTGAGACCCGGTTGTCATGTTTTAGATGTGGGTTCGGGTTCTGGTTATTTAACAGCTTGCTTTTATCGCTACATGCAGGCTCAAGGAGAAAATAGTAACACTAAAGTAGTGGGCATAGAACATCAACCAGAATTGGTTATTCTTAGCAGGAAAAATTTGAATAATGATGATGCCCAAATGCTCAAATCAGAAAAACTCATTATAGTGGGTAAGTATTTATTTCTCAACTAAATGTGTCAGGGATACTTTAAAGTTTGTGTATGTAGAGGGTGATGGAAGAAAAGGCTGTCCAGAATACGCTCCATATAATGCTATACATGTAGGTGCTGCAGCTCCAGAAAAGCCATTAGTTTTAATACAACAATTGGCTAAAGGTGGACGTTTAATTGTACCTGTTGGCCCAGAGCTTGGACAACAATACATGATGCAGGTGATACCTTTTTTAGATTTAAATATACATAAGTTCTATAGTTATTTACATACATACGTTTCTTTATAACAGTACGATAAAGATAAGGATGGCAAGGTGAGTGAGACGCGTTTGGTGGGCGTAATGTATGTTCCTTTAACTGATTTGAGACGTAATTAAACCATATAAATATACATATATTTCTATAAATAACATTAAATGTGAAGTGAAAAAACTAAATAAATATTTTATTTATTAAAAAACAAAAGTTAACCCCCTAATATTTCTTTCCAACGCTGAGGAGCAACAAAAACAAATAAACAAAAAACAGCTGTCACAAATTCTCGAACTATCAACAAAGAAGAAAAAAGCCAAAAAGACTTCGCAGTTGTCAAAATTGTTTTTGTTGTGCAAAAGTTCTTGTTGTTATTGTCCTTACAATTAGAAAAAATATACCAAAACGGGGAAACTGAAGTTACTACGGATATTTTTGTTAACAATATTTTTATTTATCAATACCATGGCCTGGCGTTCTGTTGGAGCTAACAATGCAGACCTGATACGTCAATTAAAAGGTAATTTTGAGCTAAAATAAATACATAACATAAATAATATACATATGTATGTTTTGCGTTTATATTTAATAATAAAAAGAATATCGGGTAATTGCGTCTGATGCTGTAGCTGAGGCAATGATAGCAACTGACCGAAAATTTTATTCACCACGTAATCCTTATATGGATGCTCCTCAAAGTATTGGACATGGTGTGACCATAAGTGCACCACATATGGTATTTATTACTACTTATTTATGTGATAATATATTATTTATGAGTTTGCTTGTAGCATGCTTTTGCTATGGAGTATTTAAGGGATCATATGAAACCAGGTGCCCATGTTTTAGATGTTGGTTCCGGTTCGGGCTATTTAACAGCCTGTTTTTATCGTTATATACAGAACCAAGGCGAAAATGCCAACACTAAAATAGTGGGTATAGAACATCAACCGGAATTGGTGGGCCTAAGCAAAGAAAACCTAAACAACGACGATCCTCAAATGTTGCAGTCTGGTAAACTTTTAATTGTGGGTAAGTAAAATGTTCTATCTAATTATGTATGTACGTACATAGCACATACATACATATGTGTGTATTATTATTACCTATAATAAATCCTATATTTATCATTTACATATAGAGGGTGATGGACGTAAGGGGTTTCCAGATCATGCACCATATAATGCAATACATGTGGGTGCCGCTGCTCCAGAAACTCCAACCGCTTTAATAGAACAGTTGGCCAAAGGAGGGAGATTAATAGTACCAGTAGGTCCTGAAGGAGGAGAACAATATATGATGCAGGTTAGATAATTGTTTTTAAAATATGTAGAAACAAATCAAGTAAAAAATTATATTTTAATACCCAGTACGACAAAGACGAAGATGGTAATGTGAAAAATACACGTTTAATGGGCGTTATGTATGTACCATTGACTGATTTGCGTCGCTCCTGACTTGTTTTAGCTTTCAAAGCGTTTATTGTTTTCGTTTTGCTGGGATTTTTAACTTATCGCTTTTGGAGTTGGTTGCATTGAATAGATGAACAGAACCCTTTGGTAGCTGCATATTTATTTTATAAAATTTTAATTTATTTCAAAATGTTCGACTTTCCCTTTTAAAAATGCGAAATAAACCCTAAAATTTATTTTTTAACATTTTTCGTTAATTTTGAAAAGATAATTCTGTAATTTATTTTCTTTTAAGGAGGATTTGTTCGTTTTTCTGTTGGTAGAAAAAAACTGGTCAGATATTGGTCATTGTAATATTTTAAACAAGACCCTTTTTATAATCGTAACATAATTAAATTTATTCGAATGTTTACTTACAAAGCTATTAATACAAAGCTATTTATTTCGCCTTTATTTTAACATAAATTAAAAATATATTTAAAAAAGCTTAATTTATGCGTTTTGCAAGGCTGTTAAAATCGCTAGAATTTAAACAAATGACTACTATATTCTTCCCGCTAAATTGATTTTAAAATAAATAAAAACGAAAAAACAAATGAAAAATTAACATCACTGGTTAATGGAAAAGGATTGACAAAAGACCAGAGTCGATTCTATTCGTCGACTAAACTTTGCCGCCGAAAAAAATGTCCAAAAATTTTTCATGTTAAAATGGCTGGAGATTTTTTGTTAATTGTATTCAAAGCTGGAAAGAATGATTTCTGTTTGATTTGGAAAAGTCCATATATATCACAATTGCAAAATTAAAAAAAAGCTTGTATTCCAAAATCCGACGTCGAAATGTGTCAGCCGCCGCCGATCTAATGTTTGTCGGCGAAGGTCTCTAAAGGCATTTTTCTGCATTTTGATTTTGTGACAACAAATTTAATAATTTCAAGAGTTAATTGAAATTAAAAAAACAAAAGATGATCAAAACAAGTGCACACAATAGTTGTGAATAAATGCGATAAATATTTGCATAAAAAATACGCAAAATTTTGCAAAATCTTAAGAATACTTTCGTATCATTGTTGTTGCTGGTGTATGACATATTATTGTGTGTGTGTGTTGGACGAAGCCAATTTTTTCTGATTGCCTCCTCAAAAAAAAAAAACTTATAAAGATATAAATAATATAATATTAAGTTAATAGAATTTCTTAAAAAACAAAGTAAATTATTAGCTACAATATGACAACAGTTAATATAAATACTCGTAAAAGTCCTAATGTTTTTAAGAAACAGGGTACTGACCAATGGGTTAAATTGAATGTAGGTGGTCAATATTTTCTTACCACAAAAACTACACTCTCCCGTGATCCAAATTCATTTTTATCGCGTTTAATACAGGAGGACTGTGATTTAATATCAGATCGGGTAAGTTTTATGCTCTAATCTTTTTGTTTACATCTAAACTTATGCCATTGCCAACTAGCCTATTTTTTGTAAAGCATCACCATAACCTAAAGAAAATATAAATCAACGTTATTTATAACTGTAATTGCAATTATATACTCATAAATATACATATTTACAGACCTACAAACATATTTATACAAACATAATTACACAAACCTACATTGTATATACAAGAATCCCATACAGTAGATACCTATTATGATAACGATGATAATGATAATTATGATGATAATGGCGATAACATTGTTTAATGGTTAATTTAGTGACAGTAAACTGTCAATTGCAATCTAATCAATTGTCATTATTTCCTTCTCCCTTTTTATGCAGAGGGAGAAAAGGGTGTTTGTTATTATTCATTTCTGTTTATGTCGGTTAAATGAATCATGTGAAGTGGATAAATTATAATGTCTTTTTTATTATGTACTTCCTTGTTTGTTTTTTTTTTTGCAATTTTATTTTGTTATAATAATCTTAATAGTTTAATACCTGTCATTGTCACAATTACTGTGCCGAAACAAACATTGTTTTTTGTTTAATTAGATGTATGGGTATTTATTTAATTTCTTTTGTTTATTTTACATATCGTCACAACCACCTTACAGATTTAGTTTGGCTGCATATAATAACTACACATACCTATACATAAGACATACATACTAGTTTAGTTTGTCATTATCACACTGCACTATGGTGCCATTTATTGTAAGATGGCTAAAGCAATTCATTATAGTTACCTAGGATTTTTAAGTTTATACAAGTTAGAGTGCTATATTCGGTATAAATAAGCTAGTTTTTATTAACACGTCGAATATTTATAGAAGTGTGGTAAAACCGATATTATAGGGGTAGTTATTAAGAAAAAAACGATTTACGGGGCTAGGTAAATTTGTATAGGAGCTATAAGAAAATTTTGGTTCTACTTCTAATATTTATAAGGAAAATACTTGCTATAGATTTTAAAAATACTAATCAACAGTTGGAAAACATATTTTCATGGGTTTTTTTTAAACATTGAAAATATCTCCGTTATTTATTGACAAATTTTGCTGAATTTAAATAGAAAACTTCTCGAAAGTATGTCAGACAGAATTATTGAAGATTTGGATCTCGAAGATATGGAAACTGATTTCAACATACATACAGACAGGTATTCATGGGTCAGAAAATTACATACATTGTAGAAAATTTCTGCTAGAAATCACAAACGGTAAAATAATGGGTTTTATAACACATTAGGTGGATTTATTAACTTTTGTAATTTTAAAGTAGAAAATAATTTATTTCTTAAAGAAAATTTTGAGAATAGCCGATTTTTATAAAAATTATAAATTTTTGGAGAAAAAATATAATTTTTATATAAAAATTAATTTTTAAATACAAATGTACATAGAATATAGTGCTCATATACATATTGTTATACTGTAGCATGATACAACATAATACTATAGTATGTACATATGTACATATGTATATGTTGTAGCAACAACACCTGAATGACCTGTAAAAATTACTAACTGTACAAAAATTAGAACAACATTTATTCAATATTTTGTTTTTATCCCTACAAAGATGAATGAATGAATGTGGTTATTTATTTGTTAGTGAAGGCTAGTGATAGACACAAGAACGTAAAGTGGTTGGTGATATTTCTTTAAGGTGAAGGTTGTTGCAATAAAATGTTGCATTTTTTCATTTAGTTTTTAGTTATTATATTGCAAACGAAATATTTACTCGCTTACAAATATATATGTATGTAATTAATTTTCTTTGACAACCGTATTAGTAATTGATTTTGTGAGTGTTTTTTTTTTAATTGTAATAATATTTTTTCAAGGATGAAACTGGTGCCTACTTAATAGACCGAGATCCTAAATATTTTGCACCAGTTTTAAACTATTTGCGTCATGGCAAATTAGTATTAGATGGTGTCTCAGAGGAGGGAGTACTAGAAGAGGCTGAATTTTATAATGTCACACAACTGATAACATTGGTGAAAGAGTGCATTACTAATAGAGATCAAGTAAGTTTGGTATTATAGCAAAATCTTAAAAATTTTAGAAATATTCAAAAATTTTATTTGTCTTTTTTCCGCAGAGACCACAAGCTGACAAAAAGCGTGTATATCGTGTTTTGCAATGCCGTGAGCAAGAATTGACTCAGGTCCGTGTCTATGCAGTATATAACAATGAGATAATGCTTTTTTTTTCAATATAAAAAAGCATATACTTTTATAATAACTTTAATATTTGATTTTAACAGATGATCTCAACACTCTCCGATGGTTGGAGATTTGAACAACTGATCAGTGTTGGCCCACAATATCATTCAAATTATGGTGCATTTGATAACAATGAATTTCTTTGTGTTGTCTCTAAAGAGTGTGGCGCAACAAGTGGTCGTGAGCCTGAACTAAATGATAGAGCAAAAGTACTGCAACAAAAAGGCTCTCGCATGTAAGAACTTTTTTTAACGATATAATGATATTTTTATTCTTTCTTGGCATTCTATTTAAAACTCAATCGAGATTATTTTTTTCATTTTTTTTTATTATAAATTTTTACTACATTTTTATATTTTCATAATTCCTTTTCAATAAAAATTTCATTGTATATTGCGCATCAAAATTTATTTATTTTTATTATTATTCATTATGTTTTTATCTCGTACTCGTTAGATTTGCAGGTTTTTACAGTAAGTCGTTCCCGTACTCAAAATTTTTATATGTGTTTTGATGTTTTTCTAATAATTTTGGAATATTTATGATTAAAACCTGCAAACATGAGGAGTACGGGAACAAATCTATTAAATATTTTGAAATAGTTTTTTATCTTTATTTTTATACCCTTCACCTTGGTGAGTTTGTCGTTTTCTACTATATAATTTTCCGATCCCATAAAGTATACATATGTACATATATATCCTGGATACTTATAGATAGCGGAGTCGATTGATGTCTGTCTGCCCATATTTGTTTGAATTTTTGAATTAAATTTTCTAAAGACCCCAGATATTTTCGGGATCCAAATCTTCGAAAATATTTGTCAAACATGCTTTCGGAAAGTTTTCTATTGATAAATAGTAAAATCGGTATATAAAGAAAGGAAATATGAGCCAAATTTCAAAACACATTAAAATTAAACAAAAGAAACAACAACATACAGCTTCATATAGTAAATGTTGTTCTTTGTACTTCAAATGAATTTGTAGAATGAAATGCAATTCGTTTCTAATTCAAATGAATTTGGTAAAAATTTATTGCAATTAATTTCCAATTCAAATGAGTTGGAAATTAAAAAAATATTGAACTTAGAAACGCAGCCGATTGCATGAAAATCTATAAAACTTTGCGATACTATTTCGTTTTTAATTTTTTTTATTTTTTGTAATAACGCATTATGGTGAAGGGTATATAAGATTCGGCACAGCCGAATATAGAACTCTTACTTGTTTCTCTATAAAAATGGTACCAACCTAATGTACATACATACATATTTCGTTATTTATGGAAGTTTGAAAATAAGTCGACCACACTTATACAATATTATTTAATTTAAACAAATATTTATTTATATTTATCATTCAATATAATAGAGAAAGTGTTAAATTTCTTGCTAACTCAACATAAATATTAAAATCCAATTTTTTGTATATGTGGACGAGTTATTTTCTTTTATAAAACATTGCATGCTTTCTATACATATTTCACAACAAATATTTTTGTAAATTATTAAATTGAATACATATCGCATTTGTTAATTACCTAATACATACATATACGATATGAATATATACATTTTTTTCTTTTTCTTTCTATTTTCTTTTTTTTTTTTTAATTGCAGTCTTGGAATTTAAACAAAATTTAAATCTAATCAAAGTTTTTAAACCTAAAAAAATCCTACTATGAGTATAAAAGTAAAAATAAAATAAAAACAAAACCACAAAACCTATCTACACCCATTTCACTATGTTATATTATCACCCAAGACCACTAAGTTCATCTTATCATTATGTTCTTAGTTTTTTTCTTAAACTAAGAGATACATTTATATTAAAAGCCATCAAGATAATTAGTTTAAAATTACCATACACCCTAAAAATAAATCAAACACAAAAATTTATTATAATAAAATCACACATAAAAACACTTTGCGCAAAAATATGTGTATCTTCAGCCATTTATGTGTAGTCATTTTAAGATGTCTTTGAAAATATTTTCCAATCTTTTTATATTACACCTTGTTTATTCTAACGTTTAATGTTATTTTAAAAGTTTTAAATTGAGGCAAAATTCCTAATAATCTACATGTAAATATTTAAAAATTCTTTTGGGACAAAATATAACTGCCATGACTGTTTTAAGGTATTAGAGTTATCAGATAGGAAATTTAAAAAAATTCTAGACACAAGAATTTATTCGTTAAAGAAAATTTTTCGTGTAGTTACTTTAAAGTGATTCTTTAGTAATTTTTATATAAGTATCATTAGAATTAATGTGAGTGGCAAAAATTACCTCCTCAAACAAAGAGGTTTTCGTTAATGAATGTTTCTTAAAATTCTGAAAATGTTCAGTTTTAAAGTGAAGTTTTTAAAGATTTTTTTTAACAATTTATATTATAAAATAGTTTACTTCTTTTAGAATCTTGTTGTTCTCCTGAGAGAACAGGATATTGGTTGATCGCTCACATATACATATGTACATACATGTATGTATATTAGAGTGTCCCGAGGAACAGCCTTTTTAAAAATCTCATAATGGAATATCTCTGCTTCGAAACGTATTAATATACTGAACTCAAGAAAAATAAAAATGGTCCTCAGTTCCCTATCTTAGACTGAATTACGTACAGCTAGTGTGATTCTCAGCTGAAATTTTGTATGGCGAATTATGTAATTCAGTTCGTAATTGTGCTTTGAGTGAAGAATTAGAGCCTGAATGACGAATAATTGCATAGTGTGAACGGGTTATAAGAAAAATTGTAATTATGTTTCGCTGGTAGGGAACTGAGGACCTTTAAAAAAACATTTTTGCTCATCGTTTATGAGGTATTCCTCCAAAAAAATTGGTATACGGGACACCCTAATGTATATGTATGTAATTATAAAACGTGCTAAAATCTTACACAAATTGTATTTTAATCGTTTTTTGAAAATTGAATCATCGTTAGGTTTTGTATAGATTTCTATAGAAAATATTTTTCTACAAAATTTCCAGAGGGAATATGTTTATCGACAATTTTTTTACACAAGATTTTTTTCGTCGAAAAGTTTACCTAAAAAAGTTTTCTTAAGAAACTTTTTTCAATAATTTTTTTATAGAAATATTACACAGGCCAATATGATATATTTAGGTAAATGATTAGATTCGAGTTTAGCGCAGCCTTTACAAAATTATACTTTGATCAGTGGTATTCGACAATTTCAAATTTTGTTGGCCTGTGTTATCTGCAATTGGTTTTAGAAGAAAAGTATACTGCAAAATTAACATGAATAAGGTTTATAAAGGTTTTTTGAAATTCAAATTTTTATACAAAACTGGTTCCACTTTTTTGGAAAATATTCAAGCCAAATTTCAGGTAGGTCGTTTTTCGGGTAACGAAAGGAAAGACAGAAATTCAGTATTTGTAACTCAATATTTGAAGAGCTTGTGTTGCTAAAATTATTCTACCTTTTTCAATTAAAAATTATTATTAAACTTTTTTTTTTTTATTTTATTTTAAAATAAACTCAAAGTAAAAAAAAAACTAAACTGAAACACTCAAAAATTAAGCACAAACTAAACGTACATACATATAAAAGTTAAAATAGATACAAACATTTTAAACAAATGAGAACTTTTATTAAAAAATTAAGGTAAATTTAATTTACAATACACAGAAAATAAATAATAATATAAAATAAACTCTAACAAATATTTTGAAGGGCAACACATAATTATTACCGAACTATATAATCAATATAATAAAAAATATTAATATTAATTGTTATAGCAGTGAAATACAAAATAAAGGAATAAGCAAAAAAATTTATCAAAAAAAAGTTATAAAAGAAACAAACAAATTATTTAGAAAGCTATATATTTTAAACGGAATAATCTAAAAATTAAATATACTCATTTAATTGCAAATTAATATTTTCAAATTATTATTTCTATTTGGTTGACTGATTTCAAATTTAAATTTTAATGCATTACATTTTAATATAAATTAAACATAAACTTAATTTTATAATTAATGACAATTTTTAAGCAAAAGTAAAACAAACAACAACAACATTTACAACAAATAAATATAAACGTGTTCAATTTTTTTTTTAACTTAAAATGCATTTTTTGCCAACTAGAAATTGAAATTAATTATAAAATTATAACAAATTATTTAAACAGCAAAAATATTTATATTATATACCGATTATAGCAATATTGAAATAAATAACAAATATATATTTCAATAAATATATCTAAACAAACATTTCTAGTTATTAAAACATACATACACAACATTTCGTCGAAATGATTTCGGGAATTAAAACTAAATAAAAATTTTTTAAAATTTAAATGGCTACTTTATGTGAATTTCAAAGAAAGTCTAAAGAAATTTTTAAAAAAGAACCGTAATTAAATGTAAAACATAGTATGTAATAATATATAACAAAAAAAGAAAATGTATTAAGTGCTTGTAAAAACAAAACAATATTTAAATAACAAAATATATGAATAATATGTAAACAATTTTAAGTTTAAATTAATAAAAATCAACCCTTTTTCTAAAAAAAAAAAATCGTTTTATTATTGTATTTTACAGAAAATCTTCTTAATCAGAAGATTTTAAAAATTGTATATGAAAACCGAAGGACATTTTTCTGTTTTTCATTGATATATAAAATCTTATGATTATGACGTTAGTTCGTTAGTTTCGTAAAAATCAAATAAAATTTGATTTTCTTCCGTTTAGAAATATTTATTTCCAAAAATATCGATTCTGCAACACTGTGCTAGGGTGCTATAGTTGAAACGAAAAGTCGACTTTTCGACATTTGCATTTAGCTAAAAGTCGACTTTTCGACCTTTCGACTTTTTCCATTTTATGAAAAGTCGATTTTTCGACTTTTCGACCTTTTTCATTTATTTAAAAGTCGACTTTTAGACTTTTCGACTTTTAGTATTTTATAAATGGTCGACTTTTCGACTTTTTCCGACTTTTCGACTTTTTTCGACTTTTCGACTTTTTCCGACTTTTTTCGACTTTTCCACTTTTTTCGACTTTTCGACTTTTTTCGACTTTTTCCGACTTTTCGACTTTTTGATTTTTTACGACTTTTTGACTATTTTCGATTTATTTCGACTTTTTTTCGACTATTTTCGACTATTTTTTTTACTTTTTTCGAGTTTTTCCGACTATTTTAGAGTTTTTGACCTCTTTTCCACTTTTTTAAAATTTTCGACTCTTTTCGACTTTTTCCGACTTTTCGACTTTTTCCGACTTTTCGACTTTTTCCGACTTATCGACTTTTTTCGACTTTTCAACTTTTTTCGACTTTTCGACTTTTTTCGACTTTCCGATTTTTTGACTTTTCGACTTTTTTCATAGACGATAGTCGAGTTATCGACTTTTTTGGAACAAAATAGTCGACTTCGACTTTTCGACAAAAAGTCGATTGTTCGATTATTCGAAAGTCGATTTATAGAACCCTACACTGTGCTGTGCTACGTCAACATTAATAGTCCGACGACTCACATTGTCAAATTTCTTTGACACAGAACTCTGTATCAGAGATGGGAAATTTAAATTTGGAAATACAATATGATTTTTCTGTTGCAATTTAGCAAGAATACTGAAATTATATTTTAAAATTTTAAATTATAAAACTCCCGATAAATTTATTTGTACTCGTTTCATAAAAGAAATGTATTTTCCGCTCTATAAATTTAAATATTTCTCGTGAGAATTATATTTAAACTCAGGAGAAAAAATGATCTGTTCACAATAAAGCAAATAATTTATTTCGCTCGAATTAATTTCTCTCTAGAGAGAAATCAATTTGAACGCTCTCCTTACTCTGCTCGGAAACTTGTTTTGCAATTCTTCTCATTCATACAAAATGCAATTAGGTTTCTCTGTGTAAACATAAAGGTAACTTTAAAATAGAATTAAGAAAAAGATTCTCAACTAAAGTTTCTCAGTGTAGACCGGCACTAATGAGCTCTTAATGTTAAATATTAGTATCATAATGAAATTCTGCATAAATAAGTTTAATGTAAATTCCACTATCAAAATGCATAAGGAAATTACGTCCATTGTCAACAAATTTTTAGATCTGAATTTTACTAACCACAAAAAGTACAATTATATGAACTTTTCCAACCCTGTTCTGTATACACTACAAATGCATTACACTTTGTTTATCATCAAAACAATAACAAATAGTGAAATTTTTATAAAATATTAAAAAAATCAATAAATTTTATATTCTTTATTGAGTTAAGAATAAAGTAGAAATAGTAACAATGCAAAATTTTGATATGAATATGGATTTTTTATTTGCACTGCTACCACCATCAAATTGTAAGTATCAACAAAAGTTTTCACTGTTCAACTATTTTTTTTTTTTTGCTTTTTAATAAACTAATTAAATAAACACTTTGTTTTTGTTGCTCTTATCATCCGTCACTCCAGTTCAAATGACCGATGAACAGTTGGTATTGTGGCAACATAATGCTATTTTTGAGTGTGAATGTGATAATTTTATAAATCGTCGTATTGAGGCAGATCGTCAGGAACGGGCCGAGTATTTGAGTAATTATGCTATAAATACTGCCATACAACAGCATGGTCTGCAGAGACGTCGGCGTCGCAGTGAGGGCAACGAAAATGAAGGAAATAGTGTTTTCATAGTCCATCCACCGGCCAGACGTCCGCGCTTGAGGCCACTGTACTATGAGGTGTATGAGGATGCTGTGGCAGAAGCTATACGGGAAAGAGGTTTAGTATTAAGAGGCAGACCTTAAAAATTATATATTTATTTATGCACATGAAAAGAACATCAATATGTCAACTTAAACTGTACTGTGCAGTGTGCTATAGACGCATAGGAATGAGAAAGGTTTGGAACTAAGAAAAATGGAGGATGAAGTCGTCTATAGTATACAAGAGGAATTAAAATATCTAAATGTGATGATATGGGTATCATTTTTGAGTTATCTACTTTTTGAAACTTGAGGGTTTGATAAGTTTTTTAAAAAACTTTTATTTTGCTACAATTCAACGAAATTTAAATGTTTTCATTTTTGTATCTTAAGTTGTGAAAATATATGTATAGAACATATACTTAAGTATATTTAGAAATAAGATAACATAAAAATATCTGTGTGAATTTTTAATAAAATAGATTTTTTATAAAAAAGACAAAATCGAATTGAAATGATTTGAAATCTAGTTTGAAAACAATTTTTCATAATTATAAGTACGATTTGGTTGCTTTTGGTAGGTGGAGATTACTTATTCATTAATAGAAGGTAATAAATATAAAGATACTATAGACTAGACTATAGCACAATATGGAGGATGTCTTATTTTTGATCATGTTAACAGAAATTTTGTCGAAAGTTTTTGTATTTTTACATGGTATCAGCACTTGAGAGTAAACGCACGATTGTAAATTTTTATATGGAGTTTGACAAAAGTGCGGTTCAATTCACAGGATACAAGTATATATTAAGTATACTTTTTGTCACAAAAACTGCACCTACATTTTTGCATCGGGGCTTTTCACAATAACAATAAAAACAATTTGAAAATGAAAATTTAAAGCGAACATTTTCATTTTATGAAAAATTCATTCATATTTAATGCCTTAAAATTCTCTTATAGTTTTTGGCTTTAATTTTGTTTTTTTAACACAATGTCCTGCTGGCTGGTCGTTATTATTATTTGTGTTAAATGTTTACAAAATTTATTTTAAATAATACAAAAAGCTTTAATTATATTTAAATTTGTTTAACTCTGTCTCTCTCTAGCTGATTTTATATTTTCTTTTATTTTAAATAATTTTGTAGGTTTTTCAAGTGGAAAGCGGACCATAGACTAGACTATAGACTAACGAAGTTTTTCTCTGTTTTAACGGAAATTTTTATATATAAAAATGTAAACAATAACAAACTCTGACATCAGTGCGTACCAGTCAAGTGAAGAAAAAAATAATCAGCTGATTAAATAACACCACCTTATCTGAATTCGCCTTGAAGTAAATGTTCTCGCAACGTTCCTTTTTGTTTATTTCTAAACACTTCCTAGTCATCAATCCCCGCTGAATGTCTCTACCTAAAAAGAAGTATTTGACAGCCGCAATTCTTTTTTTTTTTTGCTATTCTAGTTTTTTTGTTTTGACAAACTCTACATGTGGCAATTGGTGTAAGTGGAGAAAAGTTTTAATAAATTATAGAAAATGTCCAGTTTAAAGCGTGAAATTGATACATTACAAGAATTAGTAAGTGCTCTATGGGAATATGTTAAAAGTGTAACTAATTTTATACGTTTGTGTGCTGTTTTTTAGGAACAACTGACAGCTGAGCTGCGTGCGCAAATTGATGATACAAAGAATGGTGTCGGTTTGGAGGAACATGACGAAAGTCTGATGAAATTGCAGGTGGAAAATACAAAACTTAAACATCGTTTAGCTGTATTACAAAATGTAAGTTTCATAAATAATTGCAATCTTGGAGTATTTTCATCACCTAAACGCTACACCATTGGGTGGATGGAAAATAGCGGTCGGCTACGACTCACTTCTTGAGTCATTTTAATTTAACTAATAAAATATTTCCTATATATTCGATTTTATTAATACCCATCTTTATTTTCAGGCTTTGGAAGTTGAGAAGAAATCCCAAAGTGGTGGTGCTACTGCTGCCTCAAAGTCTTTTGTTCCAGCGGTCATACCAGAACAAATCAATGAAATGGTTTCTATAAGTGATCATTTATTAGATTTATTTACAAATGCCATTGCCAAAGCTTATCCACAATTAGCCGGTACAGCAGCCATTATTTCACCCGTAAATGCTAATGCGGCCAAGTTTGGCGATTATCAATGCAACAGTGCCATGTCTCTAGCTAAGACACTTAAAGCAAGTGGCGTAAATAAGTCACCTCGGGACATTGCCCAAGAGGTACTGAAACAATGTCAAGTTTCGCCGGTGGTTGAGAAAATGGAAGTAGCTGGTGCTGGTTTCATCAATGTGTTCCTTAAGAAGTAAGTTATTTTTCATATGTTTAACATTCATATTAAATTATTATTTGGTTTTATTAGAACTTATGCCGTTGAAGCTTTAGCCAACATGTTATGTGCCGGTGTTAAGGCTCCCAAGGTTAAACGCCAACGTGTTCTGGTAGATTTCTCCTCGCCAAATATTGCCAAAGAAATGCATGTGGGTCATTTGCGTTCCACTATTATTGGTGAATCGATTTCTCGTTTATTGGAATTTATGGGACACGATGTATTGCGTGTTAATCATTTAGGTGATTGGGGTACACAATTTGGCATGTTGATTGCTCATTTGGAAGACAGATTTCCCAATTTCCTTAATGAGAGTCCTCCCATAAGTGATTTACAAGCTTTCTACAAAGAATCTAAAAAGAGGTAACTTAAAAATTATTTCATTATTTGCATTTTAATAAAACAATTATTTTTGCTAAAAAAAGATTTGACGAAGATGAGGAATTCAAAAAACGCGCCTACAATCGTGTAGTACAACTACAAAGTGGTGAACCCAATTCAACTAAAGCCTGGAACTTAATATGTGATGTGTCGCGTCGCGAATTCCAAAAAATTTACGATCGCCTAGATGTCCATCTAACCGAAAAGGGTGAATCGTTTTACCAAAGCCGTATGGTAGAGGTGGTTAAATTCTTAGAATCTAAAAATCTATTAGAATTAGATGAGGGACGTAAAATTATGTGGGCTACCACTGAAAAGGATTCTATACCCTTGACTATTGTAAAATCAGATGGTGGTTTCACTTATGATACTTCCGATATGGCTGCTATACGCTATAGAATCGAGGAAGAAAAAGCCGAATGGATCATTTATGTAGTAGATGCTGGACAAAATACTCATTTAAAGAATATTTACTTGGCAGCCGAAAGATGCGGTATTTTGGACCCTAAAAAACATCGTGCCGATCATGTGCAATTCGGTGTAGTGCTGGGAGAAGATGGTAAGAAATTCAAGACACGCTCCGGAGATACTGTCAAGTTATCCGATCTCTTGGATGAGGGTCTAAAGAGATCATTAGATAAGCTTCTGGAAAAGGAACGTGACAAGGTACTAACCCCTGAAGAGCTTAAGGCTGCCCAAGAATCTGTAGCCTATGGTTGTATTAAATACGCCGATTTAAGTCACAATCGCACCAATGAATATGTATTCTCATTCGATAAAATGTTGGAAGATCGTGGCAATACAGCTGTTTATCTACTCTATGCCTACACACGCATTTGTTCCATATCACGCAACAGTGGTGAAGACTTCTCCGATTTGGCTAAAGTCTTGCAAACAAACAAAATTGTATTAGAACATGAAAAGGAGTGGAAATTGGCAAAAACTTTGCTTAAATTCCCCGATATTTTGGTGAAAATTTCGAAGGACTTATTACTGCATCTACTCTGTGAATACTGTTACGAAGTGTGCACTGTATTTTCAGAATTCTACGATAATTGCTATTGCATCGAAAAGAACAAGGAAGGAAAAATTGTTAAGGTCAATCGTAGTCGCATTTTATTGTGTGAAGCTACTGCCGCTGTATTAAAACAATGCTTCAATATTTTGGGTTTAAAACCTGTGGCCAAGATTTAAACAATACCTATAAACCTAATAAACGGCAATGATCACATTATCTTTAACATTTTCAATTTTTTGTAAAACGAATAAAAATAAACTACATATGTATTTCTTTGATATTTAATATTGAAGGAAAAAAAATAACCTAATAAACATACAACGCTTTTTATTGTACTCCAACAATAACAAAATAAATATTTGTTTAAATGCGCCGGAAGTTTTAGTTTTTTTCCGCCAAACATTTTTTCCAACATAATTTGTTTTTATCTCTGTGTATAATTAAATGTTTAAATATTTGTTTAATAATATCTACATTCATTAGCATTTTCTATTGAATGTTTTTAATTAGAAAATTTTAGGCACACTTTTCTGTTTGCCAGATAAGATTATTAATGATAAAGATTTAAAAAAAATATTAGTTAATTTTACAGTATCTCTGATATTGAATTTCTAAAATCAGTTTGCTAGAAGATGTGCTACTGAAAAGTTAGAAAAAAATAAAAGTGAGTTGCTAAAAATATAAAATAAAATAAAAATATCCTTAAAAAGCTTTTGTGCTAAAAAAAGGATTAGTATTGGTTACAATTATACATAAAGAAAGTTAATGGGACCAACCTCCGTCTATAGCTACGACCAATACGGATATAAAATAACTGGATATTAAGAAAATGGATGTTAATTATAGATCTATTAATTAATAACTTTTTTAAAGTTGTTTTTAATAATTTGACACGATTTTCTAACATTTCTATTTTTTAAAATAGTACGCTATGTTTTTTTCAGTGTATAATCCTTATTATTAAATTTTCATTGTAACACCCTGTCTTGTTGATGTTTTCATTTCATTCGCATAACGAAAACATCAAACTACACTAAATACACATATGTCAGAATTTCATGCAAAAACAAAGCACAGCTGATTATTTAAATTAACAAGAACAATACCATTGTTGCTGTACCCCGTCTCGAAAATTCAACAGGAATATGGCTTGTATATACACAAATCATTTAGATATTTTTTTTTCGGATCTGCCTATATAGCCACATACAATATATATAAATCATTTTGCGAATTTTTTTCGATCAGAACATAATTGTTTCTCATACTAAAATGAAACCAAAATGTAACCAAATTTTTAAAAATATTCTACGTCCTTATAAAATTTATTTATAAAAGAAGGATATTTATTATTCGGCATAGCCGATTATAGCACTCTGACTTGTTATACATATGTATGTATGTACAAACATTTAGCGGTTTCTACTAAAAAATTTTTATAGCGTTATTTTACCGTCAATCTGGTATAATGTAACCTAAAAGCTTTGGCAACACTGCTCAAAATGTCACTTTAAATTCAACAGCTGTTTCTTTGTTTAGTTCTTTTTCGATTCTTTCTTCAAAAACGTATTGTTGTCTGCCGAGTTTACTTTAAAAATTACCAAAAATTATTATCAATTATTTACGGAAAATTATTTAATTTTCCTGTTAAAATGCGTGCCTTTACTTAATTCATATAAAATTGTGTTTTTTTGTTTCTAAATTGATTGTAAAGTGATATTTTTGTAATAAATTACTAC